AAAAAAAAAAAAAAAAAAAAATTGGGAATTACAACTACCCAAGCCTCTTGCAACAAGACAACTAAATGTGGACCCTAGTGCAGACCCAGCAGCCTTGCAACCAAGTTACAACCCCACTCCACTACAAACCCAGGGGGTATCCCAGAACCCTGGGGACCCAAGAAAAGATCTCTACCTCCTGAAATTAGTTTATGAAAACTTAAGGAGTTGTTTGCTGTTTCAAATTCACAGATACCAATAGTAAACTCTATTGTGCCCATTGTCAATGCTTCTATTTTAACATAGCACTGGAAGTATGTGGCAGAATAATGAAAAAAAAATTTTTTTAAGCCATTGAAACTGAAGACAAATAAGTAAAAAGTTGCTGTTTGAGGAATATATAATCTTATACATAAAAAACCATAGTACACTGAAATTTGTTTAAACTAATAAATATACTCAGTAAATTAACAAAATATAAAATTAACATAAACGTATGTTATTGTTCTATACACTTAAAACAAGCTATTGGATACAATAGAAATTTAAAAAGTTTTATTAGGCCAGGCATGGTGGCTCACACCTGTAATCCCAGCACTTTGGGAGGCCAAGGCGGGTGGATCATGAGGTCAGGAGATCGAGACCATCCTGGCTAACATGGCGAAACCTTGTCTCTACTAAAAATACAAAAAAATTAGCCAGGCATGGTGGTTGGTGCCTGTAGTCCCAGCTACTCGAGCAGCTGAGGCAGCAGAATGGCAAGAACCCAGGAGGCGGAGCTTGCAGTGAGCGGAGATCACATCACTGCACTCCAGCCTGGGCCACAGAGTGAGACTCCATCTCAAAAAAAAAAAAAAAATTTTTCTTTTTTAATTTTTTTTTTTTTTTTGAGACACAGTCTTGCTCTGTGGCCCAGGCTGGAGTGTAATACAGTGATCTTGGCTCACTGCAACCTCTGCCTCCCTGGTAAAAGTGATTCCCCTGGTTCAGCCTCCTGAGTAGCTGGGATTATAAGTGCTCACCGCCACACCCAAATAATTATTTATATTTTCAGTAGAGACAGGGTTTCACCGTATTGGCAAGACTGGTCTCAAACTCCTGAACTCAAGTGATCCACCTGCCTCAGCCTCCCAAATTGCTGGGATTACAGGCCCCAGCCACCGTGCCAACCAAGAAAACAATCTTTTTAAAAATATAAATAAAATAATTAATTTCTGAGAACAAATTTAACCCAAGAGATAAAAAATCTTAACAATGAAAGATATAAATCAATAAAAGAAATTAGGGAAGACACAAATAAATTTGAAAATATTTCATATTTATGGATTGAAAAAATAAATACTGTTAAAGTACTATATTCTCTAAAGTAATCTATAGATTCAGCAAACTTCCTATCAAAATTCCAGTAGCATGTTTTCTTATAGTAATGAAAACTACAATTCTAAAATTTACAAAAAACTACAATAAACTTCAAATAGCCAAATTAATTATGAGAAAAAAAAACAGAGGGACATCATACTTTATAATTTCAAACTATATTTCCAGAATATACTAACAAGAATAGGATGGAATGTTCAGAAAATTAACATAAAAACCAATAGAACAGAGACCACTACCCTCACACATTTTAGAAATGATGCAAAAAGAGAACTAATAAAATAGTTTAACATAAGTTTCTCAAAATCATGCAGATGCAGATATTTGTGTGTCTCCCAAAACAACGGAAAAGCAGTCAGATTGTGCAGTCTCTTATATGCCATGAAGAGGATTTTCGCTCTCACTGTAAACTTAAAGGAGTATCAATGAAGAGAAAGTAGAATCCTTAGAGAATTTAAAAGCATAAGACAGAAGATGGCCCTATGTGAGAACAAAAACAACAACAACAAAAATATATATACCTCAGGCTTCCGGGAAACTCTTTGCTTTGGAACACAGCTTCCCAAATCAGCAGGACAGATTTGGTGATGGTATTACATTCACTTGATAACTATTTTCTTTCCTTTTTTTTTTTGAGATGAAGTCTTGCTTTTGTCCCCCAGGCTGGAGTGCAGTGGTGCGATCTCGGCTCACTGCAACCTCTGTCTCCCGGTTCGAGCAATTCTCTTCCCTTAGCCTTCTGAGGAGCTGGGATTACAGGCACCTGCCACCACGCCTGGCTAATTTTTCTATTTTTAGTAGAGACAGAGTTTACACCATGTTGGTGTAAAACAGTCTGGTCTCGAACTCCTGAGCTCAGACGATCCACCGGCCTCGGCCTCCCAAAGTGCTGGGATTACAGGCGTGAGTCACTGCGCCTGGCAGGGACTGGCTTTTTTTTTTTTTTTTAATCTTTCAACCTTTCATCTATGTCAACTGTTTCATTCACTCTCACCTACCTGGGGGTTTCACTACCATACTGTGTCTCTTCATATTCCAGGGATCTTTTCCTTGCTCCAGACAGGTGATCAGATTTGGCTTAGAGACATCAATACCTGCTTTATTAAAAATAAATAACATGAATCTTGCCCGTATTCTCTAACTGCCTACCTAGTACCATGCTTAATAAAGAGGATGTAATAGAATATTCTAGAAAATTTATCCCAAAATACTATTTAATGACAGAAAGTTCTTAACATTTAGAAAATATTTTAAATTTGTAGGTGCTTAATTTCACCACCCAGTATTCATGGATAAAAAATTAGTGGTGGCATATAGATTTTAACATACGGGCAACAATATTTTATACCACTAAATTTCTGAAGTTATCACTACTCTAGAGTGAAGGATATAGACCAGCTCAGAAATGTAAAAAGATCAGGCCAAGATAAAACATCCTGAAGAATTTTTTTACACGGACAATTCCTCAAGATTTTTTAAAACAGGCATCAGAAACGCATTTATGAGAAGCATAAATTATCAAAAATTATTCTATGAAAACAGAGAAATGAAAACTTTAGGGTATATAAGGAATTGTGTATTAAAGTTATTCTCACCCAAGACCAGGTTTCTGTAGTTCTCTAACATCACTTTCCTATACAAATCTTGCTGAGCAGTGTCCAGGCATTGCCACTCCTCCAGAGAGAATTCTATGGCCACATCCCTAAATGTCAACGGCCCCTGAAACAAACACACACACGCATGCACATGTGCACACAAACACACATATTTACACGTGGGCAAAATTTATCATTTGAGTTAAGGTTAAATGAGAGAGTAAAAAAGCTTGGTTCTGACTTACAGGAATGACTCAAGTTATTCAACAATTTTCAACACAGAAATATCTCTAATGTATTCTCTGAGGGATGAGAATGGTATAAGATCTACAACACCAGTGTATATATACTTTTATGAATACTAAAGTATAAAACTAAATGCATAAACACAAACATGTACTTTTTTAGTGCTATATTTGCCACACAAAGAACGAGTTGTGTATAGTTTTCAGACAAAAAAGATGTTGAGTTAGAAGGCACCTCTCGTTTTAATGTGAACAATAAACTGAAGATCTTGTGCACAATTTTTTTTTCCAGAAGATCTGAAATAAACTCTGCTTTCTGAATTTCTAACAAGCTCACTAGTAATGCCAATGTGTTTGGCCCAGAAAGAATATTTTGTCAAATATCCCGTAAGTGGAAGAACCTGTGTTTTACTCAATTTTTCTGCCCTGTAAACAAAGACAAGAGTCTTCATTTTCCAAAGATAGACATATGCAAGGAAAACCTAAGAAAGAAAGGCAGCTGCCGGATTAAATGCGATGGTTTATGCACAGCTCTTCTTTAGCTACATAAAGATACTTAATAATGAAGAGAAAAATAATGAACTCTATAGTGAAATAAGTATTTCAGAGAGTTCTTTAAGTAAATTTTAAAATCAACTGCATTAGGACAAATGTTTATGATGTGCTGATGCGATGCACACAGAAGAACACATCATCACTGCTGAGATACTGCCTCTCAAAAAGTAAATTCTAGTCTGAATTTAACCATACAGAAAAGTCAGTGTTACGTGGAGTTCAAGATGCAGATATCTTCTATGGTCTGTAATTTTTAATAACATTTTAAAGTAGTCTTTCTTTAGCACCCGAGAGAGCAGGTATCTCTCAATAACTTTTTTTCAGAATTTTCAGGGTAATAAACGCTATCCTGTTTAAATAAGCATTTTCTTAATCCTGTTCCGCACAGAGTTAATGGAGAAAACAGATGAAGTCACAAGACTACATGCTATTTATCTTTACTAAGGAGCCCAGCTTTCCGCCAATGGGAATCTTGAATATCTACATTTTCCCATGTTCAACAGCAACAAAGGGAACATTTTAAATAGTGCAGACTATAAATTCATTTTAAGAATTTTGCATGGCATATAAGAAGTCATGATTTAGAGAGTGTAGAGAAGGTTCTGGGATATAGGAGAGAAACATTTTGCAGAGACCCTTGACTATCACAAGAATTTTAAAAAGTCGTTAAACTCATTAGGGGAAAAGAAACACAAGTAGAGAAGTAAAGGTTTGCAAGGACTAAATGCATGGCATTCCATGAGGCAGAGTGGACACAGATCTTCATCTGAGACATATTTAGCTGAAAAAAAAAAAAGCCATTTTTCCTCTTTTGCCTTCTTTGGAAATCCTTTTCAGATGACATTCTCTGGAGAAGTTACACCTGCATCTTGAGAAAATTCCTGTAAAGAAGTCAGCACCACCCATTTACCTGCTAGCCTCACAACTACAGAAAAAAGAACTAAGACCTGCAGAAAAAGCCCACCCACTTCTGTCCTTTATAACAGCAGAGATTCAGGAACAACAAGCTGCTCAATGAATATAAAAATATGTTTCTCTATTTCTGTCTTCATGTGCCCGCCCTTGCCACAAACACCAGCAATTTCTGCTATGGTGATGAAAATATGGGTCACACTGACCTCTTCCTATTAAAACCAAATAGAACAGTTCCTGTGACTACCTTTTAGTGCAAAGGTGAAACTCAACTCTCATGAATGTATCTTGAACCCCACCCACTTGATTTTGTCCTCACCTTAGAGTCACATGAGAAACAATTAAAACAACATGAATACTTTCACCTAGAACAATACACAGAACCTGGGGAGATGGCACAAGTAAAGAGATGTCTGCAAATTGGCCATGTGATCCTAATGAGAAGCCTGGGCTGATAGTCACTTAGCTAAGCATTGCCTCTCAAGCTTTAATGAACTCAAAAATCACTTGGTAATGTTGGTCCCACTTTATGTAATGTGATTCTGCAAGTTTAGAAAGGGTCCATGAATGGGTGTTCCAAACAAGTCCCCTGTCAAAGTCAATGTTGCTATGTTGCTCCACCTGGGCTTATCATTAGCATTAGAGAAAGCAGGCACAGCACAGAGCCCCTTACATTCAGCACTCTTGCGCAGGTACTATGTGCTCAAGAGTATGATACAGAGCACGGTGCTGGGAATAACACATTCTGTGATTAAATCCTAATAAGACCTACGAAGTTCATACTAAGTGTTCAATAATTCTCAGGATTTAGATAAAGGGCCCAGAATTAGTATTTCTTCCTCTGTTTCTCTGTCATTGATTTTCTTAAAAACATATAAACTAAAAGCTAAATATAGACAGATGAAGATATATAAAGAAATATAGACAGAAAGAGTTTAATGTAGTTTAGAGAATTTTTTCTGTTTATATATACTTGTTTGTGACCTGTATAGCAACTACTGGATCTGCAGGAATAGAAAACAAGTTGCTAAATGGAATGTTTCTGTAAGCACTGGTTTTACTACAAAATTTAAAAATTAAGATCTTAAAATGTATAGTTTATTTTTCTTATGTATCTACTTTTGGGTTTCAGGATATTGTGAGCACCAGCTCTAGAAAGTCAGCAGGATTTACCAGCCAAAACGTGAATCTCTATAAAATCAGTTTTGTAAGGAAAGACTCCAGAGTGGGGCCAGAGCTAAAAAGGCCTCCAAAAAAAGTGAATCTTATCAGAACTGGGGCAGGGAGAAGACCCTAGGTTGAATTTGTTCTCTATGCCACTGAGGTATTTCCAGTTCTGTTTTTCCTAAGCTTACCTAAGAAAAACTTAAATCCCAGAGTTTATGTAACTTCAATCTATTTTTGCCACTACTCTCTCAATTTTATAACATACACTAATAAGCAATTTAAATGAATCTTTTAAAGTTTTCTAGGATAATTTTATTAGAAGATAAATATGTATTCTTAGAAAAGTAAAATAAACACAAATAATAACACCTCTTCAGTCCATAAATATCCCTTCAGGTGATAACATCAGAAGTCACAGCACTATTTTTAAAAAGTGGCCCAGGTTGTTGTTGTTGTTGTTTTTCCCCAAACATGTATTCATTCTACCAACCATATAATGCTTAATTCAACCATGTATTCAGTTGCTAGTCTAGACTAAAAGTTCCTGGATGGTAGGGACCATGACTGCTTCATCTATTTTTTGAATGATAATATAAAATGGAAGCAATTAGTTTATTTGAGTTTCCAGACCTCCTCTGTCTTTCATCCAACTAGCAGAAAACTTGATAAACTTTAATTTGGGCACCAACCAAAGTTATCTCTTATGAGGGAGAAAAAAACACAGAATGATTCCTTTCTCTTACACTGAGACACAAGCAGAATTAATCACTCTTGTCAGCCTGACACAATTCTGTCCCAGACATCCTCAAATGTCTTAAAGAAACCTAGGTGATTGTGAGAGGGTTCCCAGTGACCCAAGGCTGATGGCCCAATGAAAAGCCGAACTGGAGAAACTCAGGCTGATTCTAAATAGAAAATGGAACTGCCCTGGTGGAGCTCCAGAATCTGGACAACCTATCCTGATTTGCTAGCTTTTGCGTAAGAAGGACAAGAATACTCTACTCCATAATTACAATTTACAGGTAGGTATAGTTGTGGTCATGGCTCTGGATACTTTGTGGCCTTGATCTCTCACTCTGAAGATGCTTATTTACACTTATAGATTCTGTCATCAGATTCTATTTATACCTGGAGCCTCTCATATAACTGTAGCAGGTCACCAAATAAGATCTGAAAAGCTTACAAAGCCACACTCTCAAAGGGGGGCTTTAAGATGTCTATGTTGACATCTCACAATGCAGAAAATATATTTTGTTGGTTTTCATTACATTCTCAATCGAAAGTCTGGCCCTGTCTTGTAAATCCCAGGCAGAGGCCTGACCCTATGTGCAGATTCTAGGTGGGATTAACCTGACTCCGCATCCTTGGGTGTTACAGCAAGCGGAGTACAATCAAAGGAGAGATCCCTTCATAGAGGTTCCTCTAGCACATTCTAAGTAATATGTCTACCTAAAAGGAAAAAACTGAGGAAACATGAATTAGAAAGTTCACTGGGCCAAGCTTGAGGACTGTAACCTTGGAGCAATGATACATCCTCCAAAGACTGAACAAATAAGAAATTGAATCCCTGAATAGACCAATAACAAGCTCCAAAACTGAATTAGTAACAAATAGCCGGTCAGGGCCGTGTGCGGTGGCTCACGAGGTCAGATTGAGACCATCCTGGCTAACACGGTGAAACCCCATCTCTACTAAAAACACAAAAAATTAGCCGGGCATGAAGGCGGGCGCCTGTAGTCCCAGCTACTCGGGAGGCTGAGGCAGGAGAATGGGGTGAATCCGTAAGGCAGAGGTTGCAGTGAGCCAAGATTATGGCAGCACTGCAGCCTGGGCGACAGAGTGAGACTCTCTCTTAAAAAATAAATAAAAATAAATATATAAATAAATAGCTGTCCGGGCACGGTGGCTCAGCCTATAATCCCAGCACTTTGGGAGGCCGAGGTGAATGGATCATGAGGTCAGAAGTTCAAGAATAGCGAACAGCCTGGTCAACATGGTGAAACCCCATCTCTACCAAAAATACAAAAATTAGCTGGGTGTGGTGGTCCACACTTGTAATCCCAGCTACTCAGGTGGCTGAAGCAGAGAATTGCTTGAACTCGGGAGGTGGAGGTTGCAGTGAACTGAGATTGTGCCGCTGCACTCCAGCCTGGGCGACAGAGTGAGACTCTTTCTCAAAAAGTAAAATAAAACAAAATTAAATACATACATAAATAGCCTGCCCACCAAAAATAAAACAAAGAACCAGACAAATTTACAGCTGAATTCTACCAGATGTAAAATAAGAGCTGGTACCACTTCTACTAATATTATTTCAAAATACTGAGAAAAAGGGACTTCTTTCCAACTCATTATATAAAAATAGCATTATTTTGATATGAAAATTTGGCAAATATAAAACAAAAAAATAGAAAACTTGAGGCCAATATTTTTAATGAACATTGATGAAAATATCCTCAACAAAATACTGGCAAACCAAATCCAGAACATCAAAAAGCTAATCCACTGTGATCAACTTGGCTGTATCTCTGAAATAAAAGGTTGGTTCAACATACAATTAATAAATGTTACTCTTCAAGTAAACAGAACTAAAGACAAAAACCACAAGGTTATTTCAGTAGATGTTAAAAGAGTTTGCAATAAAATTTACCATCCTTCATGTTTACAACTTTCAAAAAACTAGGCATTGGAGGTACCTACATCAAAATAATGAGTCATCTAAGCATGACAAACTTACAGTCAACATAGAAAATGAACACAAGCTGGAAGCATTCCTTCATGAAAACTGGCACAAGACAAGAATGCTTTTTCTCAAAACTCTTATTCAACACAGAATTGAAAGTCTTGGCCAGAACAATCAGGGAAGAGATAGAAATAAAAGGCATTCAAACAGGAAGAGAGGAAGTCAAACTATTCCTGTGTGCAGATGACAAGATTCTGTATCTTCAAAATCCTACAGTCTCAGCACAAAAGTTATTTAAACTGATAAACAACTTCAGCGAAGTTTCAGGATACTAAATCAGTAGCATCCCTGATGTACAATAACAACTACATGACTACTGTGACCCTCCCTGTCCCTTTTTATCTTAGCCTTAACTGGATCTGCCTGTAGCTTTCCAGGATTCTGTAGCTTCTGTCAGCAGAAAGGCTTCTTCCATGACTGCAGTGAGCAGGCTGGAACTGCTGCAGGGGAGGCTCTCCAGAAAAAAAACTAACTAGGCCTTTCATAAACTCCTTTTGCAGGCTCAATATTAGCCTTAGCTCTGAGTTACTGGGCTCAAACTTTAATTTTCATGTTAGAGTTACTCACTTGGTTTTTGAAATTAAGTATTTAAAAAATTCAGCAAAATGACTGAAACACAGTGTTCATATAAGGGAAAATTTTTTTTTAAGTGCTTACATTTATTATTATTATTATTTTTTTTTTGAGACGGAGTCTCTCTCTGTCACCACGCTGGAGTGCAGTGGTGAGATCTTGGCTCACTACAACCTCAACCTCTTAGGTTCAAGTCTCAGCCTCTCCAGTAGCACTAGAGGTGCGTGCCACCATGCCCAGCTAATTTTTGTATTTTTAGTAGACACGGGGTTTCACCATGTTGGTCAGGATGGTCTTGATCTCTTGATTTCGTGATATACCCGCTTCGGCCTCCCAAAGTGCTGTGATTACAGGCGTTAGCCACTGCGCCCGGCCAAGGTGCTTATACTGTATACCTTAATAAGAAAAGCAGGCAAGGCGCAGTGGCTCAAGCCCGTAATCCCAGCACTTTGGGAGGCCGAGACGGGCAGATCACGAGGTCAGGAGATCGAGACCATCCTGATTAACACGGTGAAACCCCGTCTCTACTAAAAAATACAATAGTCCCAGCTACTCGGGAGGGTGAGGCAGGAGAATGGCGCAAACCCCGGAGGCGGAGCTTGCAGTGAGCTGAGATCCGGCCACTGCATTCCAGCCTGGGCAACAGAGCGAGGCTCCGTCTCAAAAAAGAAAAGCAAAAGTATCTATTTCTTTAGGAAAATAAATGTCTTATTCTATTAATTCCATTAAAAATCATGCCGTAAACAATGAGTCATATGAAAACACTTCTAGGCAGTACCAAGTTTCGTCTCATAATATTTAGCATGAAACTCACAAATCAAGAAAACAAGATTTGAACAGAGATATTCACTGTCAAAAATTTACGTTGCAAAAAAAGGAACTGATGTTTTTATGAATCTATGTAACCAATCAATTATCTACCACAATTTCTCATGGAAATGTATTCATTTTCTACAGCAAAAATGAAATAGAGATTTTTTCCTCTTCTTTTTCTTGGCAGCATTCTAAAAGCTAAGCCTTGAAATTCTGTTTGAAATCACCCAGTTATTTAAAAAAACACACCTGAGAAAATTCATAAACTCACTCTGGGAAAGAAAAAGGTATGTGAGAATTTTTAACAAATGACATACATGATTAGATACTAATTTTTTGAAACCCACATCTTTCATGTCTTTTGTAAATATTTTTCTACCTTTCAAGCCCTACTATAAAAACTCAGGTCAAAATAAGTGAACAAATCCCTTCAAGGTGACAAATCCATGAGTGGAAGTGCTGGTTAAATAACAGATGTGGGTCGGGCGCGGTGGCTCACGCCACCCAGCACTTTGGGAAGCCAAGGCGGATGGATCACGAAGTCAGGAGATCGAGACCAGCCTGGCTAACACGGTGAAACCCTCTCTACTAAAAATACAAAAAATTAGCCGGACGTGGTGGCGGGCGCCTGTAGTCCCAGCGACTCGGGAGGCTGAGGCAGGAGAATGGCGTGAACCTGGGAGGCGGCGCTTGCAGTGAGCCAAGATCAGGCTACAGCACTCCAGCCTGGGCGACAGTGAGACTATGTTCCAAAAAAATAAAAATAAAATAAATAATAAATAATAAATAAATAAATAACAGATGTGTCTGACTCATGTTTCAAGTAAGGCCATTCAATCACTTGATTCTTCCACCCACTCCTGCTCATTGTGTGCTCAAGAACCACCCATTCAGAAGACACTGCACTGTTTCTCGGTGACTGTCCCACTTGCATTTTACTTGGCAAGCTCTTACACCATCTCACTGGAGTCAGTTTTGTTTTTGTTCTTGTCTGTCTTTTGGGATACTATTTTTTTGGTCACAAAATTTTCACTTTTTTTTTTACTCTCTTTCTTTTACTATATTTATTTCACTATTTTTCTGCTCCCCTTAGAGAATCCAGGGGGCAGAAATTATTTCTGTGTTTTCCCCTCATTACCAGCATCTGATTGGCTGACCAGCAATTTGTCTCTAAGAAATGGAAGCCTGGTTGGGTGAAGGCAATTTTAACATTTCAAGGGGTTACTGTTTCAAAATAAGAGTCCACCGGCAGATTCCCCTCAGCCCCAGAATATCCACTTGCTCCCTTGAGAGGATACACTCCATACCTCAGGTCATCTTATGGGAGAAAATACACCAGAAGTTGAAATCCAATGGACACTCTAGCTAACATAACCATGGCAGTTACCTTTGTGTATCCCCAGATAGTACTGAAACCCATGCACACGAAAAAACCAAAGGGTGGCTGAGGACACATCACCCCATAAATTTTCCAAAGGAGAACTTTGACCCAAAAACATTCCGGTAACATCTCTGTGCCTAGACAAGATAAAAGCAAAAGAGACACAGAGATTTACGACAGTATAGTGTCAGGGTATTATTATTTGCTTTCTTTTCATGGGAAATATTTACAGATAACAAATCTCCTTAAACGCACCATTTAACCATTCAATGCTTTGCGAAAAAAATAATTAAAATATGGTATAAAAAAGTACACTAAAAGACAAAAAGGCAATAATATGAACTAGGGAGGAAAAGCTGGCATTTGGGAACGTCAGAAGAAACTGGAAATTATCTTACTGCAAGCCAGAGTGAGGCTGGAGAAATGGGGGATGGGTTCCAAGACGCTGCTTGGGACACAGGTGAAAAATACAGCAGAAAATCAGTTCCCTGTGGCGTGTGAAAATAAATAAGTGGCAGGCAATTAGACTGAGGTATCTCTAGTCCCTGGATTCTTACTTAAAAAAAAAAAATCTAAATCTAACTCAGGTGCATTATTTTTAATTACTACATTCAGAGAAACAAAATTCAGGCTTCAGCAACTATAAACTGCCAATTAAGCTCTGATTACATAACCAGGAAATTTTCACCTTTAATGCACAAATTAAGAAACCACGTAACTGTACCTAACCAATTACTAAATTTGGTTTCTTCACCATGCATTTTATAAAAGATTTTCCTTCAAGCCTCTCCCACAGACCACAAACTACAAAACATAGCTGGGTGCTCTACAATTCTAGAACCACTCTGATTAAATTCTTTAATATTTTTGCAGTGACTCCATAAATTTTTAATAGGAGAAAATAGCAACTGGGAACCCCACGGACCAAAGCTCTTCGCATTCATGAACCCGCAATCCAACTCAGGATTCTCCCCTGACGACCCTCCCGTGGTCCCTGCACAATTTGAGACGCGGTGCTGCGGGTGCAGAGCTGCCAGAGAGGGCTCCAGGCAGGGCACAGTCACAGTGCAGGGAAGAGACAAGACGCCCGAGGCCCCGGCTGTCGGCGCAGCCGCCAACTTATGACTGAAGGAGACTGAGGCCGAGCTGGGCAAGGAAAACTCGGGCGCAGATTGTGGAGCTGACTGCGAGGAGGCCAAAGTCACGCCACAGCACTTCCCACCGGTTCCAAGCAACCCCTTGCCCTCTCTCGTGATGTCGGACTCGGCACTCTCACCATTTCTAGGCTTTCAGGGGGTCCTGGCATCTTAGCTATGGATCTCTCAACACCTTCAGGTCATGAAGCCACACACGCTGACGACACAGAACAGTAGAGAGACCTGAAGCTCAGCAACAGCGAGAAACAATGGCCCAGCCACATCCCGGAAGCCGTCCTTTCCACTCCAGCTGTGTGCCTGATTGGACGGTTCCCAGCTCAGTGCTCCTGATTGGATAAGGTTTAAAGACCCGCCCCTTCAGGCCCTGAGTGACAGAAGATATGACCAAATGCTGGGCGAAGTGAAGAAAGAGTGACAGCCCAGGCTGCAGCCTTTTCAGACAGGGCTTCCTCCCTGAGCTGAGCCAGGCCCACCTTACAGGGGATTTTCCCTTAACCTTGTGTATAAGGTCATAAGCAGTTATAAATAATATATGGCTATTCACAAATTTAAAAAAATAATTATTTTAAAATTTCAGATTTTATGACCTTCCTGGCTCCTAGTCCTTTGAACTAGCAGCCTGAGATTTTTAAAAGGAGCCAATCTTCTGAAATAAGATGTGAACCACATGTGAATTTTAAATTTTCTAGTAGCCAGACTTGAAAAATAAAGAAGGGCCCTTTATTACGTGGCTCACGCCTGTAATCCCAGAACTTTGGGAGGCCGAGGCGGGTGGATCACCTGAGGTCAGGAGTTTGAGACCAGTCTGGCCAACATGATGAAACCCCGTCTCTGCTAAAAATACAAAAAATTAGCCAGGCATGGTGGCGGGCGCCTGTAATCCCAGCTACTTGGGAGGCTGAGGCAAGAGAATCGCTTGAACCTGGGAGGCAGAGGGAGGCAGAGGTTGCAGTTAGCTGAGATCGCCCCACTGCACACTCCAGCCTGGTCAAGAAGAGCGAAACTCCATCTCAAGTAAAAAAGAAGAGAGAAAGAGAGAGAGAGAAAGAAAGAGTGAAAGAGAGAGAGAAAGAGAGGAGGAAGGAAGGGAGGGAGGGAGGAAGGGAGGGAGGGAGGAAGGAAGGAAGGAAGGAAGGAAGGAAGGAAGGAAGGAAAAAGGAGAAAGAAAGAAAAGTGAAGAGAAGAAAGAAAATAAAAGTGAAAGAAAAGAAAGCCGGATGCAGTGTCTCATGCCTGTTATCTCAGCACTTTGAGAGGCCGAGGCAGGCGGATCACCTGAGGTCAGGAGTGCAAGACCAGCCTGGTCAATATGGTGAAACCCCGTCTCTACAAAAATACAAAAATTAGCTGGGTATGATGGCAGGTGCCTGTAATCCCAGCTACTAGAGAGGCTGAGACAGGAGAATCGCTTAAACCCAGGAGGCAGAGGTTGAGGTGAGCCAAGATCACGCCATTGTACTCCAGTGTGGGCGACAGAGCAAGACTCCATCTCAAAAATAAAAAAAAATTAAGAAAGAAGAAGAAGAAACAGGTGAAATTAGTTGTAACAATTTAATTAACCCAATATATCCAAAATATTATCATTGTAATATGTGAGCAATATGTAATGATTAATGAAGTATATATATTTTTGGAACTATATCTTTGAAACTAACTCTGTATTTTATCTTTCTAGCAAATTACAATTTAGTTTCTAGCAAATTGCAGCAACATTCCAGGCACCCAGTAGCCAGCCACACATGGCCAATAGCTGTTGTATTGAACGTGTTAGCTCTGACGTCAGGAAGGTGAAGGGTCTGAACATCCATTTTCTGCCAGAGGTGAGGGGACAACCTCTCTCTACCAATGTCTCTGTGCTGTTCCGAGAGTGGTACAGATAGTGGCCATAGAAAGATCAGAGGGTATCAAGAATAAAATCACCACAGGTAGACCACTGCTGGCCACCTGTTGCCCACCTTTCTTCTAAAGATCATACAGTGAACAAAGAATGATAGGGCCACCAGGCACAGTGGCTCACGCCTGTAATCCCAGCACTTTGGGAGACCGAAGTGGGTAAATCACTTGAGGTTAGGAGTTCGAGACCAGCATGGCCAACATGGCAAAACCCC